ATACGAACGTACGTAAAGACATTAAGCTTCTACTATGGTTACCCGGGCCTACACTTATTACCGAGCTTTAAGAAAGGAAATTATTTCGACGACTACATCTGAGGAGATTTATTTTAACAGAGCTCCATTTTAGGACATATACAGGAATACAATATTTAGCATGTTCTCCGTATATATGGTGTGCACTAAATATAATTATATTGTGCATACAATTTTTTTTCTGTATAGTATCCCAAAATGGACTTGAATGAATTATATCGTAAAATTAAATCCTCAAAAACAAATAAAAATAGGTAACATAATGTTTAATCTTAAATTGATTAAGACTAGAATGGCTTATGTGAAAGGTGCATCATAAACCAAAGTCAAGAGATCGATTTAACATGCAACAATAAACAAAACAGATATTAGCTATTGACTGGTGTATACTGTACAGAAAATTAAATCCATTAAGAAAAACATGCTGAGGCGCCTAAGCGTTTACACTCAAAGTAATCTATACATATATATTCCGATATATATCATATATAAAAAAAAATGTCTTCGCTGCAATTGGATGTCTTTTTTTTTAAATTGTTTTTTGTGTTATTTTCTCTTTTGTTTCCTTTTTTAATTTTACTTATTCTTGGGTGGTGAGGTGCTGTTAGGTTGGTGTCAACTAAACATGTACTCCACATCTTCATTTACTCATTAGAACCTTACAAACCTTATAATTCTGACTAGAGATTGTTTATTTGCAGTTCGCAATACTCAAAATTGAGAATGGAAATGGGGAATATGTCAAAAAAACAACAACCCGACCAAAGAGCAGAAAACTGCTGAATGCCACAAACGGGTCTTCAACACATCGAGAAAATCCCGCACCAAGAGGCGGGCTTCAGCTGGTCCCTAAATAAAAAATGTGTACTAGTTCAGTGAAAGTGGACGTCATTCTAAACTCCAAACATATAAATGAACTAAAATTAAAAAACATACAAGAATAACTTGTCTACGCATTTCAAATCATACAGTAAATCCTACAGGTTCAAATGAAAATGTCGAATTAAACGCGTAATAAAAAAAAAGAAGATGTGGTATGATTACCAATGAGACAACTCTACACAAAAGACCAAATGACGTAGACGTAAGTAACTATATGTCATTGTACGGACTTCAACAATGAGCAAAACCAACAACGCATATCAAGCTATAAAAGGCCCCTTTAACCATAACATTTAACAGTATAGTTTGTGAACTACGGTCCACTTGATTAGAAAATTAAATAAAATGAAAGTAATATATCAAATATTTAAAGTTTCAACGCAACTCATTTTATAATGTTTGATTTATTTAGATTATTTTAAATGATCGACCATATCCTTTGGGCCACCACAATGGAGATCTTTTATTTATGTGTTGATTGGAAACGTATTGCATACTATTCAACCCTACATAATACATACTACAGTTTATTCATTCAGAAGAAGATCGGAAATACATTATGTGTATAATATACGATTTACGGTCCACAAAAAAATGTCACAAAACATATATTAAAAATAAAGAGAGAGAAAAACAATACACTATTAAATACAATTAGCAGTAAAACAACAAATAAACCTGTGTTCATAAAATTTCTAAAGCTTGGATCCAATAAGATATCCATTACAGTGCCAAGTTATAATTTTATGGGTTTATAATGATAGTTGTTATATAGTTGAATATTTTTAAATACTGTCTCATAAAAAAACCCAGAGAAATCAATAAGTTACTATTCTAGTCTTGAGTCATTGTAACTAGATTTGCATGTGGAAGTTTTTCTTCTTAAATATTACAACATAACAATAACTTTTATAAATAATTATAAATAGGAATAAGTCATTTCAAAGCAAGTATTATGCTTTTATATACACCACAATAGGAACGACATAAAGGTACAAAGTTCTTATACAATTTAAAGTAGCTAACTTATTAGCATACTGTTGCAAATTACTATCATAACATAGGGTTAATTAAGATTAGTTTCAGTTTTGACTTTATATTGTGTTTATACAAACAGAATCTTTACAGTTATATCAAAATCATTGATTTCATATGCAATTAATTCTATTTGTTTAGTTTTCATAATGTTTTGAAATATGAAATAAAGGCAACAGTAGTATGCCGCTGTTCAATAGTCTTATAGTTTTCAGTAGTATTAGAAATACATAGGTGTTGTCTACCCGGGCATATATTGCCTTAGCCGTTTTCGGCACAAAGTTTCGGAATGTGTGTTTTAAGTGTTCTTCAACTTATTTGATTTGACCTTCCAACTGCTTTGAAACGAGATCCGCTGATGAGTCTAAAGTAGACGAAACGTGCGTCTGGTATACCAAATTAATACCCTGGTATCTTGATTATTTTTTTGTAACGGACATAATGCACTTAATTGTTTGAAAAGGTACAAAACGATACTTGACGTAAAACGGAACATAAAACAATAGTTGTACGGACAAAAGGTACCACTAATAAAGACCCGCTGGAGAATCTGAGTCCAGTTAAGGTTTTTTTATGGGGTTCATGATGTTCAATGTTATGGGGTCCATGATGTTCAATGTTATGTGGTTCATGATGTTTAATGTTATGGGGTTTATGATGTTGAATGTTATGGGTTTCATGATGTTCAATGTTATGAGGTTCATGATGTTCAATGTTATGGGGTTCATGATGTTAAATGTTATGGGGTTCATGATGTTTAAAGTTATTGGGTTCATGATGTTCAATGTTATGGGGTTCATGATGTTGAATGTTATGGGGTTCATGATGTTCAATGTTATGGGGTTCATGATGTTCAATGTTATGGGGTTCATGATGTTCAATGTTATGGGGTTCATGATGTTCAATGTTACGGGGTTCATGATGTTTAATGGTATGGAGTTCATGATGTTTAATGTTATGGGGTTCATGATGTTCAATGTTATGGGGTTCATGATGTTCAATAATATGGGGTTCATGATGTTTAATGTTATGGGGTTCTGAGATCACCCCCAGTTCTTGGTGGGGTTCGTGTTGCTTAGTCTTTAGTTTTCTATGTTGTGTCTTGTGTACTATTATTTGTCTGTTTGTCTTTTTATTTTTTAGCCATGGCGTTGTCAGTTTATTTTCGATCTATGAGTTTGACTGTCCCTCTGGTATCTTTCGCCCCTCTTTCATGATGTTCAATGTTTAGCTTTCTTTTGTGTTTTGCTTCGCCTCAGTTGACAATGTTTTCTTGGGGTAACAATCTGCTCTATCACCCTCTCAGCTATGTGTTATTTATATAATGTTCTATTTTTAAGCCGATATCTGGGTCGATATTAAAGTTCGACAGATTTTTAGACACATATCTATCGCTAATTTTCAAAAAATTTGATTTGTTACGATTACTAGTACTTTAAACTCATTTTTCCATCTCAATGACGTAGTTTTTTTATGTTGTGTTGAACTGATTGCACATAGTTTAAAAATAACAATATATACACTATAGCTAACACAATATCCAATTAGATCGATAATTCATTAAGTTGTGTCATATATGCGATATGGTCCACATGGAAAAACATAATATTTTAATAACTTATGGTCACAAAATACGTTTTAATAAATTGATAAAAATTATTCAATAGTGATGCACTATTTTATTTAAAACGTTCTTAATGTTATGCAATTAAAATATGTGAAAAATTTCCATTTAATCATAGTCTTTTTACGTGATCGTTGCAAATGAAAGGAAACAGATATCGTATTTATATATGAAAATAAGTAGGAGGCTTACACTGACTAACGATTGCTATGCTTATTCAAGACGAGAACATGTTAGTGTAATATGAATATTAACCCTGCTTTGTACTAGACCGACACGCTGAGCCGGATCTTTAACGTGCTAGTTCACAAGGTGACAGTCTGCAGGAAGACATGTCATCTGTCTCTGAGCCGACCAGTCTTTTACCTTAATTCTTAATACCGCGTGCTAAGCGGAGAAGCAGCAAATACCAATTTTAAAGTCTTTGGTTTGACCCGGCAAAGGTTCGATCCCACGACCTTCCTCACTCGAGGCGAAATCGCTACCACGAGACCTCCGATGCTGTTTTGGTACTTTGAATACAAACTAGAGTGTAAACTGATACACAATAAACACTACAAACAAGAATGTGTCTAAAGTACACGGATGCCCCACTCGCACTATCATTTTCTATTTTCAATGGACCGTGAAATTGGGGTCAAAACTCTAATTTTGCATTAAGATTGGAAATATCATATCATAGGGCACATGTGTACTAAGTTTCAAGTTGATTGGACTTCAACTTCATCAAAAACTACCTTGACCAAACACTTTAATCAGAAGCGGGATAGACGGACGGACAAACGAACAGACTGACGGACGCACAGACCGAAAAACATAATGCCCCTAGGTGGGGCATAATAAACTAAAAATATAAAGGTAAAATATCAAAACGTCAATAAATCGAAGAGAAAAAAAATAGGACTTATATAAGCTTAAGTTATCAACTAACAAAGACAGTCCTATTTACTAAATAATTGCTGTCGCAATCTTTACTTGACGAACGCATTTACGTACAAACAAACAAGCACTGAAGTAAATTGCTTATTCCTAATGAAATGAAAACCAGGCGGGTTGCCACTGTAAATTCCAAAGCATAGTTGACCTCTCCTACATGTATGTGAGCATCATCCATGGTATTATTTCAACATTAATGCTACCAGTGTGTGTCAAAGCACAGAAAAACACCGAACCAGTAATGATATATTATAGACATGTGGGATGTTTGACACAGTTCAAAAATGTCTAGTAAACAGAAAAACTAAGACACTATTTTTTGGTAAATTCATTAGTAAAATTATGTTATAGATTGTCGATAAATATGGACAAAATAACCCCCCCCCCCCTAAAAAAAACCCACAAAAACAAAAAAAAAGAGGAAAAAGTAAATCTAAAGCACAAAAGAATGAAAAATTGGTATTCTTGACTATATCACTTTCAGATAGAAAACAACACTAGTCAAGTATGGCAAGTTATGGAAGAGTTGGCATATTTCTGGCTGTAGGAAACCGTAGTTTATATGGTGTCACAAGTAAACACGTCACAACACAATCAACAGATATGGTAGTTTATTTGAAAAAGACAAATGGTGACCTATTAAATTTTGGGAAAGTAAAAGAAACTGGTTCAATGAATATATACCACGATGTTAGCATTGTTGAAATTAACCCTGACATTTGCCATAATTTATACTCAACCACTGTGCGTGAGGAATGGAACACAAATAGTCAATTAAAGATGTGTAATTTTGATGAGTTATATGGTAAATTTGTCCGAACAAAAGGTCTCAATGAGACAGGCATTGTTCATTTTGCAGTTGCACAAGTTGCAACAGGACAAGAGCACAGAGAAAACGATATAAATACAAACATTCATTTTCTAGTTAAACCAGTCAACGATTGTCCATTCATTCAGCCAGGAGACAGTGGTAATGTTATTTCCATTCAGAATACAGATGTTTGTTACATGCATGTTGGATTAATAATAGGAAAATTCGAAAATAAAATTACAGGTTCAGCACTTAAAACTGCAGATGAAAAGTCAAAACAATATGTGTTATGCTTGAATTTAAAGCATGCATTCGAAACTTTAAAAGATATTACCCATTTAGAGTTCAAAGTAGTATTTCCAGCTTTTCGAAATAATGGTGTATTTATAGAAAATGGAATGAAATTATGGATAAAGACTAGAACAGTAAACTACATATCAAGGAGAGACTTTAATTTGGCTGAACACTTGATAAATCTTATATTTTGTATTAAAGAAACGGTTTCTCAAAGACCCGGAATGTTTTGGACAGAGAACACTTATATACTAAGATTAAGTCAGTTTGTCAACTCAAGGAATGATTTAGAACCTAGTGGATGTGATACTGCAGATCACAAATGTTACTTACATGCAATATTAGGATGTGATTTCTTATTCTCCGAAAAGTACGATTTAGCAGAACACCAACTGAAAGAAGCGACAACAATGATAGCAGCTACTTCCTCTCCCTATCGACTTTTATGTAAAATTATTACATATAGCACATGGCTTCTGCTCAAGCAAAAGCAATTAAATGAAATGAAAAATATCTTATATCATGGATTTCACTTTATGCTCAGATTCAAAGAACATGACGTTCGTATTCATGATTCCATTGGATATTTATATTTTGACCTTTCGCGATATTTTATTGCAACGGGAAAACCTCGAAAAGCATTGCGAATGGCGTACAAATCATTGGAACTTTTCGAAAGATTTGAGAGAGGTGGAGGACAATCTCTTGGAACGTAATTTCGACAATTTACCAATTGTCCAAAAGGTTGTCTATTACATGGTTAAAACTGATTTCTTTTATAGACAAGGTAACATTACAGAAGCTTTAAAGAATGCTCAGATAAGCGTCGATATTTCACGAAAAAACATTCTACGTGAAGAATTATTCAAATCTTCCATACGGTTATGCTATCTTAGAAAAGTGTAAGACTGGAAGATATAACAATATCCAATTATTTTTACAATTACTTACTGCATAATGCGGCGTTCACACAGTGCCGATTATGGCTCCCGTTTGAAAGCAGACAGTGCTAAGACACGAAAAGTGAAAAAGTCGGATTATCATTGTCTGAACGCAGTCGTGTACGTTCAAAGCAGATTTCTACGGATCGGGAATGGTCCGGAGAGGTCGGCCAAGCTCCCCAACAGCTAGGTGCGTCTCGTAACATTCGGGGTAATCAGCCGATTTTGTGTAGTCGGATTACATTCGTGACAATGGATTACAATCGGATTACAATCGGGACATATTCGGTCATTTTTTACCAAATGAAAGATACAAATCGAATAAGAATCGGATTGAGAACGGGATAATCGGGACAAATTCGGCTGGAACGGATGAATTTGGACGCTTCCTGAACAATATCTGATTTTTGTCGTGATTAGAAAAATGTTTTTACAAATTTTAATTAAAGTTTGAATTTTCAGCCGCGATTCACCGGATCTTGATCAGACTTTTGACAAATTTTGATTGAAAATGGTCATATCAACAAAGACGGCAGTAAAAATCGTGAATGTGTGACCCATTTTAAGGAATCGGTGGTTTTTAGTGGCTTTTAAAACATCGAACATGGGTCTTTTCGTATTATGGAATACAGATTTAAGAGCTAATTTTAATGTGTTTTTGTATCCATGAAATAAAACTTAATTAAAATGTGAGCAGTCTTATCTTACGAACTTATAAATGTACAAGAAAATGTACTAAGTATTTTGTTCTGCCATAATTAAAGTGTATAGTACTACTCTTAAATGTTTTATATATTTTGGTTTTCCAGCTTTTGACCTGACTGATTAGGTCACTGCAGAATATAGTCAGCAGAAGATAGTTTAGGAAAAAAGGAACAAGAAAAGTAGTGACGACAGAACTTTTAGAGAAGATCTTTTTTATAATGCCCTCTTTTCCCTCAAATATATTCAGACACTCAGAAAAAAAGACAAATAAGTTGGAGTTTCTTCCGCTATTTCATTCAATGTTTTACGCTTCTTACAAGACTTAAAATATCGGGGTTTTCCTAAAATTGTCAACATACTATGTCCTGAATCATTTGTGAGGGAGCAACCGTCTTGAGTAGGGACCATTTTCCCTATTTGTTCCGCTGTTTCTGTTATTAAATCGAGTGTTGCAATATGCATGCGCAATGAATGGAAATCAGGATTAGGCACATAAATTATAAAAAGGTTCGCATGTCAACTTTAAAATAGTAACGTATATATACAGTAACAAGGATGATAAGACAACGAAAATACTGGATTGCCTCCCTTACACTTGAAATTTATTTAACACTGTTAAAGCACGTATTATGAACTTAAAACATGAGAGATAAAGCAAGACCATTACCAAAGTATCGATTGGTTAATTAATTTTATGATTGCTTAAGGCCCAGTGGCAAATATTGCTTGCATATTAAGGATTATAGCATATTATTAATAAATTAAAAAGTAGCCTATGTAAGGTTGGTCGACTAGGAAGAACGGCCGGGAATTTTGTCATGTTAAAATGAGGTGAGTGTTGATCAGGTTCATATTTTTTTTCTAGCAGCAAGCTTCCTTTCAAAAGCAGCTCGAAGAGTTTTTTATCTTGCAATTAGATCTCGAGTTATAACAAAATTCCCTTTTCCGACCACACGTATACGTGTATTAATACATCTCGTACATCCAAACGCCTTTATTCTCTATTTTATGCTTATGATTTTGGTTATGGTTGGTTGTTGGTGTTTAAAGCAACTTTAAGTACTCATGGCTATATTTTCGTTCTGACATATGTAATCATAGTGATTCTATAATTCAAGAATTAGCAGCAGATTAAGTCATTATAGATTTAATTGTCCGTTTTTATGATATATATCTAGAGATTTTTTTAAAGATTTCTACAGCGTGTTGAAAGTCAATAACTAAACTAATATTATGAAAACTGGTTTGCATAACTTACCGTGTGATGTATTTTGCTTCGAAAATATGAAGCTAACGCCAGTTTCTCATAAATTATTAGAAATATGTTTTTTTAATGAATAGAAACACACAGATACTATTCTGCTAACCCCATAAAGACCCTCTTATCATCTGTAAGACGTAAATCCACTGACACAACCGAGTCTGTCAAACCCAGTTATAACACATTTTAACACTACAAAGAAAGTGAGTATTAAACAAATGATTTTAGGATTTAAGTGATATAACCCAAGTAAGAATTTCTCATCTTTCGCTATTTGCTAAGAAAGGGTTAAATATGAAGTTTCAATGGAGGTACACTAATCACCAATCCTTACCCACCCCAAATTCCAAGCAATAGTGTAGATTGAGCGATAAAAAACAAGAATGTTGGACATCTTGCCCCGCTCGCACTTTCACATTTCCAAGACCAGCGAATCCTGAAATCTCTGTTAAACCCCTCATTTGGCATATACTATTAAAAATCAACATCATAATAAACAAATGTACTAAGTTTAAATTGATTTGACCACAATTTCATGGAACCAAAACCAAAGCTTTTACCGGATTCGGTATAGCTGTATATAAAGGAATCTCCATAGGTAAACCATCCGTAAAATTATCTGTGATTTTTTTCAACTGACTACAACAAAAGAAATCAGAGACGGATTTTGTAGGAAAAATTTGGTTGATTATTTAGGGAATCACTGAAGCATGTGGAGCACGACCCCTCTTATGGAAGTCAGTGGGCCCCTCTTATGAAAATTTCTGGATCCGCCACTGGAGATTCGTTTTCCACTAATTGGATTATAAAAATAAATTCTCAGAAACAATAAAGATAATTAATGACATAATGTCCACAACTTCATAATAAACTACCTTAACAAAAAAAACAAAACTTTAACCTGATATGGACGTACGCACAGATCTAGACCGCAAAACATAAAGCCCCTACTATGGCTAGCCGGGTCTACACTTATTAACGAGCTTTAAAGAAAGGAAATTATTTCGACGACTACATCTAAGGAGATTTGTTTTAACAGAGCTCCGTTTAGGACATATACAGGAAAACAAAATATATTGTGTATGCACGCTTAATATAATTTTATTGTGCATACACATTTTTTTTTTCTATATAGTACCCCAAATGGACTCCGTAAATTTTTCATTGAATGAATTATATCGTAAAATTAAATCCTCAAAAACAAACAAAAAATACGTTACATAATGTTTAATCTTAAATTGATTAAGACTAGAATGGCTTATGTGTAAGGGGTATTATAAACCAAAGTCAAGAGATCGATTTACCATGCAACAATAAACGACACAAATGTTAGCTATTGAAAAAGTGTTTATGGAAAAATACCAAACTAAAGAATTGGTATATTTTACAACCAACTAGTTTTAAAAGTTTAAAATTAATCTCATATAAAACATATAGAACATTGAAAGATCAAATATAGGAAAGGTCTTTTTGGAAGGGTATAGTGTACAAAAATGAAATCCAGTTCTAAGAAAAACGTGCTGAGGCGCCTAAGCGTTTACTCTCAAAGTAATCTATTTCCATTCTCAATTTTATACATATATATTCCGATATATATTATATAATATATAACAAAAGCAATTAGATATCTTTTTTTTTTGTTGATTTTTGTGTATGTTTCTTTTTTGTTTCCTTTTTCTTTTTATTAATTTTTGGGAGGTAGAGTGCTGTTGGGTTACTGTCTACTGAACATGTACCCAACATCTCCATTTATTCATCAGAACTTTATAAACCGTATAAATGTCACTAAAGATTGTTTATATGTAGTTCGTAATACTTGTCTAGGCATTTCAAACCATGCAGTAAATCTTACAGGTTCAAATAAAAGTGTCGAATTGAACGCATGATAAAAAAGATAAGAAGATGTGGTATGATTGCCAATGAGACAACTCTACACTTAAATACCAAATGACGTAGACGTAAGCAACTATATGTCACTGTACGGCCTTTAACAATGAGCAAAACCAACAACGCATAGCAAGCTATAAAAGGCCCCGAAATGACAAATGCAAAACAAATCAAACGAGAAAACGGCATGATTTATGTACAAAACAAGGAACGAAAAATAAGTATGGTATAAAACAATAAACAACAACCACTGAATTACCAGCTCCTTTTTCTTTTCACAAAAAATGTCACGACGAAAACTGATCGTAAGTTATACTGAAATGTTCATGCCTTGTATTTTTTTCTCGTAACATTTTTTGGTGAAATTAGTCGCAGACTTGGGACAGACACATACAGAATGTGACGGATTTACACATGCAATTGTATACAAGCGCTAAGTCCCCGTAACCTGATAGTGGTGTAACAGCACAACATAAGAACAAACTAAAAAAACTCAGTTGAAAAGGGCTTAACTCATCAGATCGATACAAATAACAAAAAACCTAACTAAAACGAAAACGACACAAAGAAGAGATCTGAGAGTACTCTCAGTTACTGAAAGCTAGTTCGAGGCCAATAACAACTAATAAAAAAATAATGTATCTAAGACTAAAAGGCTGAGTATTCAAGATTGATTGACCATAGTTCTTAAAAAAAACTATAAAACAACTTTTTTATGTTTGAATAATGTCTGTTCCCACTTTCCACCAAAAGAAATCTGAAAGCTATACTTGCAAATAAAAGGTTAATTTAGACATAAATTGGAACCTGAAGTGTTTCAAAAGTATCAAATATTAAATGTGGTAGCAAGCATGGGTTAATTCTGCAACTTGTATATCTAGATTTGATTGGAGTGTAAAATAACGGTCACATCGTAATCGCT